CACCCACTACCCACGTCACTGGCTGCAGCCCACTACTCCACCGTCACTGCCTGACCACCCACTACACACTCGTTAATTGCTGGACCAGCAACCACTACTACCACACCGTCACTGACTGACCAGCACCCACTACTACCACACCGTCACTGACTGGACCAGCACCCACTACCACCACACCGTCACTGACTGACCAGCACCCACTACACCACACCGCCCACCGACTGACCAGCACCCACTACCACCACACCGTCACTGGACTGGACCAGCACCCACTACCACCACACCGTCACACTGGACCACCACCCACTACTACCACACCGCCAAGACTGGACCAGCACCCACTACCACCACCGTCACTGACTGACCAGCACCCATTACTACCACACCGTCACTGACTGACCAGCACCCACTACCACCCACCGCCGACTGGACCAGCACCCACTACCACCACACCGTCAATGACCGAACCAGCACCACTACCACCACACACGTCACTGACTGGACCAGCACCAACTATACCACACTGTCACGACTGGACCAGCACCCACTACCACCACATCGTCACTGACTGACCAGCACCCACTACACCACACCGTCACTGACTGGACCAGCACCCACTACCACCACAACCGTCTACTGACTGACCAGCACCCACTACTACCACACCGTCACTGACTGACCAGCACCCACCACCACACCGCCAATGACTGACCAGCACCCACTAACACCACACCGTCACTGACTGGCTCAGCACCCACTCCACCATTGCCACGACTGGACCAGCACCCACTACCACCACACCGTCACTGACTGCAGCACCACTACCACCACACGCCTACTGACTGGACCGTCATCACGTCACTGACTGGACCAGCACCACTACCACCACACCGTCACTGACTGACCAGCACCACCACCACACCGCCAATGACTGACCAGCACCCACCACCACACCGTCACTGACTGACCAGCACCCACTACTTCACACCGTCACTGACTGGACCAGCACCCACTACCACCACACCAATGATTGGACCACTACCCACAACCGTCACCTGACTGACCAGCACCCACTACCACCACACCGTCACCGACTGACCAGCACCCACTACTACCACACCGCCAATGACTGACCAGCACCCACTACCACCACACCGTCACTGACTGGACCAGCACCCACTACCACCACTCACGTTCACTGACTGGACCAGCACCCACCACCACACCGTCACTGACTGGACCAGCACCCACTACTACCACACCGTCACCGACCGGACCAGCACCACTACTCACCACACACCGTCACTGACTGGACCAGCACCCACTACCACCACACCGTCACTGACTGACCAGCACCCACTACCACCACACCGTCACTGACTGGACCAGCACCACTACTACACACCGTCACTGACTGGACCAGCACCCACTACCACCACACCGTCAGTGACTGACCAGCACCCACTACCACCACACACCACACGCTGAACCAGCACCACACCACACACCGTCACTAATTGGACCAGCACCCACTACTACCACACCGCCAATGACTGACCAGCACCCACACCACACACCGCCAATGACTGGACCAGCACCCACTACCACCACACACGTCACTGACTGACCAGCACCCACTACTACCACACCGCCAATGACTGGACCAGCACCCACTACCACACAGTCACTGACTGGACCAGCACCACACACCACACCACTGACTGACCACCACCCACTACTACCACACCGTCACTGACTGGACCACCACCACTACCACAGTTGTGACCAGTACACACGTCACTGATGCACACCGCCTGACTGGACCAGCACCCACTACCACCACACCGTCACTAACTGACCAGCACCCACTACTACCACACAACCGTCACTGACTGGACCAGCACCCACTACACACACGTCCCGCGACCACCACCACTACTAACATATCGTTAAACTGACTGGACCAGCAACCACTACACCACACCGTCACCGACTGGACCACCACCACTACTACCACACCGTCACTGACTGGACCAGCACCCACTACCACACCGTCACTGACTGACCACCAGCACCCACTACCACCACACCGTCACTGACTGGACCAGCACCCACTACCACGTCACTGACTGACCAGCACTACCACCACACCGCCAATGACTGGACCAGCACCCACTACCACCACACCGTCACTGACTGGACCAGCACCCACTACTTCCACACCGTCACTGACTGACCAGCACCCACTACCACCACACCGCCAATGATTGGACCAGCACCCACTACCACCACACCGTCACTGACTGGACCAGCACCCACTACCACCACACCGTCACTGACTGACCAGCACCCACTACCACACGCCAATGACTGGACCAGCACCCACTACCACCACACCGTCACTGACTGGACCAGCACCCACTACCACCACACACCGTCACTGACTGACCAGCACCCACTACCACCAATACGCCACTGACTGACCAGCACCCACTACCACCACACCGCCCGGGACCAGCACCCACTACCACCACACCGTCACTGACTGGACCAGCACCCACTACCACCACACGTCACTGACTGGACCAGCACCCACTACCACCACACCGTCACTGACTGACCAGCACCCACCACACACACCGTCACTGACTGGACCAGCACCCACTACCACCACACCGTCAGTGACTGGACCAGCACCCACTACACCACACCATCACTGACTGGACCAGCACCACTACCACCACACCGTCACTAACTGACCAGCACCCACTCTACCGCCAATGACTGGACCAGCACCCACTACCACCACACCGCCAAGACTGGACCAGCACCCACTACCACCACACCGTCACTGACTGGCCAGCACCCACTACTACCACACGCCATGACTGACCAGCACCACTACACCACACCGTCACTGACTGACCAGCACCCACTACCACCACACCGTCACTGACTGGACCAGCACCCACTACTACCACACCGTCACTGACTGACCACCACCCACTACACACACCGCCACTGACTGACCAAACCCCACCGTCACTACTGACCACCCACCTACCCACCGTCACTGACTGACCAGCACCCACTACCACCACACCGTCACTACTGGACCAGCCACTACCACACCGTCACTGACTGGACCAGCACCCACTACACCACACCGTCAGCCTGACCACCACCACACTTGACTGACCAGACACTACCCGTCACTGACTGACCACCACCACCACACACTGTCACCGAGACTGACCAGCACCCACTACCACCACACCGTCACTGACTGACCAGCACCCACTACTACCACACCGTCACTGACTGGACCAGCACCCACTACCACCACACCGTCACCTGACTGGACCAGCACCCACTCACCACCACACCGCGTCACTGACTGGACCAGCACCCACTACCACCACACACCGTCACTGACTGACCACCACCCCTACTACCACACCGCCAATGACTGACCAGCACCCACTACCACCACACCGTCACTGACTGGACCAGCACCACTCCACACTGACTGGACCAGCACACTCCACCCCACCGTCACTGACTGACCAGCACCACTACCACCACACCGCACATGACTGGACCAGCACCTACCACCACCACACCGTCACTGACTGGACCAGACCACCCAGCCCAGACCCACACCACCACATCGTCACTGACTGGACCAGCACACTACACACACCTCCTGGTGACTGAATTAGCTACCATAATGACAGACCAGCACCACCTACCACCGTCTGACTGGACCAGCACCCTACTACCACCGTAATGACTGGACTGGCACCCTGCATAATGACTGGACCCTTTACCTACACCCTGTAATGGATAGCACCCTACCACCGTCACTGACTGGACCAGCACCCTACCACCCACACCGTCACTGACTGGATGCTTCCCCTACTACCACCGTCACTGACTGGACCCTACCACCACACCGCCAACTGGACCAGCACCCTTCCACCACACCGCCAATGACTGGACCATGCCCTACTACCACATAATGACTGGATGGCTGCTACACCGTCTGACTGGACCAACACCCACTACTACCACACCGTCACTGGCTGGACCAGCACCTACCACCATCACTGACTGAACAGCACCCACTACCACCCGCCAATGACTGGTTAGCACCCACACCACCCCACCGTCCTGACTGGACCGCCTTCTACCACCGTCACTGGCTGGACCAGCACCCACTACACCACACACCGTCTGACTGGATATGCCCTGCCTACACCATCACTGACTGGACCAGCACCCCACTACCACCACACCGTCACTGACTGGACCAGCACCCACACTACTACCACACACCAATGACTGGACCAGCACCACACACTACTCACCACACCGCCAGCCCAGCTGGACCAGCACCCTACTACACCACACCGTCACCCCCAGCTGGACCAGCACCACTACTACCACACCGCCAATGACTGGACCAGCACCCTACTACCATAGTCACTTTGACTGGACCTTACTACCACACGTGCTGGCTGGACCCCTTCCTACCGCCTACAGTCACTGGCTGGTTACCACCCACTACTACCACACCGTCACTGGCTGGACTGACACCCTGCTACCGTCACGGCTGGACCAGCACCCACCTACCACACCATCCTGCCCCTGGGCCACCACCCTGTCTTATCCGTTACCATTGGCTGGGCCAGCAACCACTACTACCCACCGTCACTGGCTGAATACCACACTACTACCACACCGTCACTAGCTGGACCAGCACCCGCTACCCACACCATCACTAGCTGGACCAGCACCCACCCCCATCTTTGGCTGGACCAGCACCACCTACCACCGTACTATTTCAGACCAGCACCCCTACTACCACACAAATACTGGCCAGACCTTTTACCACCCACATCATCTGTTCAGACCCTTTCCCTACAACACACCGTCACTGGCTGGACCTTTCCCACCCACACCGTCACTGACTGGATCAACATCTACTTACTTCTTGTCATTGACGCGGCCCTTTCTCGATGACTGGCGCCTCGTTCTTGTACCACTTGAAGCGGGTTGGAGAAGGATCACCTGTGAACTCGCACTTGAGCTTGACGGTATCGCCCGAGTCCTTGGTCACGTTGTTAAGGCGGCGGGTCACTCTCAGGCTGCTGTTGTTGGCGCTGAGCCCGCTCCCAGGGAGAACCAGAGGTCACATCAGGTCAGTGTTAAGAAGGAAACAAAGAACTCATATAGAAAATACTGTATCTGTATTTAATGCATAATAATAATACTATACACTTGGGTAGTCAAACAAAGTACCCGAACCTGCGCTATGTATCAACAGTTAAGAATAGGTTACTCTATTAACAGCAAACCAAAACAGTCTTGTGGTAGCTATCTCGAAGGAATCTTGGGATGCACAGATATGTGATGGAGTTGAGCCCACTCCTGTCAAAGCCAGAATCTTATGTCAGGTTAGTGTTTTGATAAGTTAATTTTATGTATCTTTAAAGGTGAACTCTCCCGTTTCGTAGATCTTTCTGGGGAGTCAAATTTTAAGTTAAGTTCGGTAAGTTAGAAGATACCATACGGGAAATTCACACAAGACAATTAGTAACATACTGAAAGCGTGATGACGCTATATACAGGCGAAACAGACTTGTTGAGGGTGACAAAAAATGCAAGGAATGGCGGGTATATTTACGTGAAGCAGAACCCCTGAAACGGAGTACAACAACTACACTTTCTAGTCAAACGAGTATCCAGAGTTTTGAAACAGACTTTATATCGAGATTCATGTAGACAAAATTACCAATAAAGGCGGTAACGTCCCCGGCCAAAAATAATAACTCGGACCAAGAGGCCATAACTATGTACTGTACAATAAAGATTATAATACGGATTATAGAAACTATCAAGTTTCGTTAACATTTACTAGACTTCTTTTTCGTTGTCATTAATCTCTAACCTACGGACGGACATTCATGGACGGACACATTCACAGACGGAAAAATTGTCGAACGAACGCATGACGGATGGGTGCATTTATACGCAGACCGATGTTTTTAAGCTCCTCTCCCGATATGGGAAGGAACTGTTTTAACGAGAGCACCCCTAATGGCTGACACATGCACTAGCTTGTTGACATGTTCCATGACACACACTGGAGTGAAATATAGCAGCTGAAGCTCCGTTTCAGATGGATATTACATGAGAAAGAGAGAGAGAGATTTGCGCGATATACCAGCATCACATACACAAACGCTGACGTTGTTGTTGGTTAAAAAATTATTTACACAGCTCTTGATGACGCTACGACGGGTTTTTGATCACCCAGGCGCGAGGATGGCCTGAGGGAGCACCAGGAAAGAGGGGAGTAGCTGCAGGAGCAGCAAAACGCTCAGCGATTATGATACAAAGCTTCCCTTTCACACAAAAGACAGATTGTGTTTTGTGAACCAACAATAAGCAGTGAGTCGAACCTGCATCAGCCTGTGGTAGAATATTGCACGTCGTTTAAGTTAAAAAGTAAACTTATTGATGACATTCCCAGCCATATAACAAGGCGCCCCCCTTTGGCTGAGTTATTAATCATTCAAACTGTAGCGATGATGCATTCAACAAGCAAAAACAACTTAGGAGTTCACTTTGACAACCGTGAAACTGTATCAGGCAGATGTGAGTGGGCAGGAGCAAACCTGCAATGTTCACGCTATTTAGCCCGATAGGTTGGTTATTGGAAGAGTTACTGAGTAATTATTATGAGGAAGATGAGGAATTGTAGACGAAATCTGACTCGAAGATGGCGATGCACAGCCACATCCATGAGAACCTGGCAAGTACGTGACAGGAAAATGGGCAGCTTTAGGACGCAACTTGAATATCCTTGACGGCAAAAGTTGCAAAACTCTCCCCGGGAGGGACAAGTCTGCTCACATCTGGTGCACATTCCCACTTTGTGAGAGCATTTCTATGTGGCATTTCCTCCAGCTCATCTCCATCTACTGGCGAAGCAAAGAATGTGGAGCACGAGGACTTATTTTGAGCCTGTGGAAGACTGAGAGGATCTGGGTTGTCAATATGTTTCACCCAAGAGACGTGCGGAGCCTTTTACTTACACGTATACCAGACCAATGTACTCGGATTCCTCCACCTCATCTCCATCTACAAGAGAGGAGAAAATGATGGTATCTGAAGATTTATGTCGACTCTGGGGGTACGAATGGGATGATTCGGATCTATCAAAAGACTCTAAAACAACTGGATGACCTGGAAAGCCTTGTACTAACATTTGCACAAAGCCACCGTATCCAGAATTCTTCCATGTCATTTACAAGAAGGTACAGATGATGGAGTGTAGAGATTCTTCTATATCTTGGAAACGAATACTGGAGCTCTGGCCACTTACAGGAGCCTGCAGCTCCTGAGACACGCAGGGGAATGAGCATATGGGGGTAAACAAGAGACCAAGACGAGGAGAGGGAAGGAGGTTAGGCAGATCCCATGGTATCAAAGTGAAGTTTTATCAGGTTAACACTAATTTTTGTCATCTCTTCACACACACACATCCACCACTAACAGGAGGAGATGCTAAGCAAATAAAAAAACCTTATCATATATATATGTATCCACACAAACCGAACCAAAAATACGACACAATGGACTGCCACAGACAGAACAACACAAGTAAGCACACAGACAGACAGACAGACAGACAGACAGACAGACAGGTTTGACCAGATATACGGAGACAGCAATTACAGACGAACAAAACCTTGTCTGTAAGAGGATCGCACGCACAAAAGAAAGATACAGACGAATACAAGTCTTTCTTCTCTGTTTCACGTCTGAGGGGGTAGCTAGCACCACCACCTCAAAATACCCGCAGCGAGCAGGCAAACTTCCTCCCTGCTAATTACCAGTAGATAGCACACCGGAACCGTGAGAAAGATGTTAATCACCTCCCCCCTCACTCCACCTCCTAACCCACCCACACACTGTGAACTCCACGCCCAAGTCACCAAAGTTTTAATTACACATCTGGCATAAGCTCCCTGGCAAACCTGTCAAGACAATTAACTCAGGTAATTAATGAGTGTGGCGGCGGTCCTCTTAGATCACCTGAATCACAAAAAAATAATAATGAAGTGTGAGGGGGGGAGGGGGGGGGAGGAGGCTTCGTAGCTTTTGTTGCAGCCCGATTTTTTCCCTTCCCTTTTTTTTAAATCTCATTGTAGCAAATTTCATTCTTTGCAGTTTATACTTGTCAATTTCACAAAATTTTCTTTAGTTTACCTTTTATTTCTGTTATCATGTAGTCCGCTTTCTAGAGGTCATTCTTTCTTTCAATATTGCTCGTTTAAGTTGGTTAATTTTCTTATCTCTTTATATCTCCCAATTTTCTTTGCTACAAGTTTGTCTCACTCTCAGCCGTTTTCTTTGGTCGATTTGTTTCTATTTCCATTTATCCTATTTTCTTTACAGTGCTTTTTATAGTCTATGTAAATTCGATTGAGAAATAAATCAAAGGTCACCAGCTTCTGTGAGAGACCTTTCAACACCTTCCATTAATAACATACTAAAACACAATAACCGAGACCAACGCATAAACGATAAGTAAGTTAACCCTGCATGTTACTGGTGGTGGAGCATGTTACTGGTGGTGGAGCATGTTACTGGTGGTGGTGCATGTTACTGGTGGTGGTGCATGTTACTGGTGGTGGTGCATGTTACTGGTGTGGTGCATGTTGCTGGTGGTGGTGGAGCATACTTGGTGGTGGTAATGGTGGTGGAGCATGTTACTGGTGGTGGCAATGGTGGTGATGCATGTTACTGGTGGTGGTGGTACTGGTGAATGTTACTGTGGTGCATGTTACTGGTGACTGATGGTGGTAATGGTGGAGCATGTTACTGGTGGTGGTAATGGTGGTGGAGCATGTTACTGGTGGTGGTAATGATGGTGGAGCATGTTGCTGGTGGTAATGGTGGTGGTGCATGCTACTGGGTGGTGGTACTGGTGGTGGTATGTTACTGGTGGTGGTGGGCATGTTACTGGCGGTAGTAGTGGTGGGTGTTACTGGCGGTAGGTGGGTGCATGTTATTGGCGGTGGTAGGTGGTGGTGCAAGTTACTGGCGGTAGTAGTGGTGGTGGTGCATGTTATTTGGCAGTAGTGGTGGTGGTGGTGAAGTTACTGGCGGTGTAGTAGTGGTGGTACGTTATTGGCGGTGGTAGTAGTGGTGGTGCAAGTTACTGGCGGTGGTAGTAGGTGGTGCGTTATTGTGGTGGTAGTAGCGGTGGTGTTACTGGCGGTGGTAGTAGTGGTGGTGGTGGTGTTACTGGCGGTGGTTGTAGTGGTGGTGCAAGTTACGGTGGTAGTAGTGGTGCACGTTATTGGCGGTGGTAGTGGTGAGTGCTACTGGCGGTGTAGTACGTTATTGGCGGTGGTAGTAGGTAGCATGGTGGTGGCAATGTTATTGGCGGTGGTAGTAGTGGCAAGTTACTGGCGGTGGTAGTAGTGGTGGTGCACGTTATTGTGTAGTAGTGGTGGTGTTACTAGCGGTGGTAGTAGTGGTGGTGCACGTTATTGGCGGTGGTAGTAGTGGTGGGTGGTGTTACTGGCGGTGGTAGTAGTGGTGGTGCATGTTATTGGCGGTGGTAGTAGTGGTGGTGCAAGTTACTGGCGGTGGTAGTAGTGGTGGTGGTGGTGTTACTGGCGGTGGTAGTAGTGGTGGTATGTTATTGGCGGTGGTAGTAGTGGTGGTGGTAGTAGTGGTGGTGCTACTGGCGGTGGTAGTAGTGGTGGTGGTGCAAGTTACTGCGGTGGTAGTAGTGGTGGTGCAAGTTACTGGCGGTGGTAGTAGGTGGTGTTACTGGCGGTGGTAGTAGTGGTGGTAACGTTATTGGCGGTGGTAGTAGTGGTGGTGCAAGTTACTGGCGGTGGTAGTAGTGGTGGTGCACGTTATTGGCGGTAGGTGGTGCAAGTTACTGGCGGTAGTAGTGGTGGTGCAAGTTACTGGCGGTGGTAGTAGTGGTGGTGCACGTTATTGGCGGTGGTAGGTGGTGTTACTGGCGGTGGTAGTAGGTGGTGCATGTTATTGGCGGTGGTAGTAGTGGTGGTGGTGCATGTTACTGACGATGGTAGTAGTGGTGGTGCATGTTACTGACGATGGTAGTAGTGGTGGTGGTGGTGCGTGTTACTGGTGGTGGTGGTAGGGTCCACGATGGTAGTGGTGGTAGGGGTAGGGTACAAGTGATGGTGGGACAAGGTACTTGGGTGGGAGGAGAAGCCCCAGGACGGGGTGTCGTGGTAGCGTGTGGAGGTGTGAAGGGTCGTCCAGCCTCCCAGCTTCCTGCAGGATAGTGTTAACCGCACCCTCACATGACACTTACATACTTCTAATTTCCCAACACACACACACACACACACACCACATCTCCCCAACACACACACACACACACACACACACACACATCTCCCAACACACATACACATCTCCCCAACACACACATACACATCTCCCAACACACACACACACACACACACACCCCACCCAGGCAGGTATAGCAATTGTGTCAGAGTAAAGACTACTCACCTGTACAAAACTCTGAGAAAATATATAAATTCTTAGGACTCAAACTCAACCTTAATTAAAGTACTTTTATCTACAATTTGATGAAATAATGTTCTCCTTTACTCCATTTATGACAAAAGAAGTGCAGATGACCTACTCCTGCACGGTCACTGGCATTGTGACGCGGGAGTGTGGCGAGGTGTGTGGCGAGGCTGTGTGGTGTGTGAGGGTGTGTGGCGAGGCTGTGTGGCGAGGGTGTGTGGCAGGGTGTGTGGTGAGGTGTGTGGTGGGGGGTGTGTGGTGGGGGTGTGGTGAGGGTGTGTGGTGAGGGTGTGTGGTGAGGGTTGTTGTGTGGTGGGGTTTGTGTGGTGGGGTTTGTGGTAGGGTTTGTGTGGTGAGGTTGTGTGTGGGGGTTGTGTGGTGAGGTTGTGTGGTGAGGGTGTGTGGTGAGGGTGTGTGGTGAGGGGGTGTGGTGAGGTATGTGAGGTGGGTTGTGGTGAGGGGGTGTGGTGGGGGTTGTGGTGATGGGGTGTGTCGTGAAGGGTGTGTCGTGGGGGTGTGTGTCGTGAAGGTGTGTCGTGGGGTGGGTTGTGTGGTAGGGGTGTGGTGGGGTGTGGTGGGTGTGTGGTCGGGTATGTGGTGAGGTATGTGGTGGTATGTGGTGGGTGTGTGGTGAGGTGTGTGGTGGGGGTGTGTGTGGGGGTGTGTGTGGTGAGGGGGTGTGTGTGTGGTGGGGGTGTGTGTGGTGAGGTTGGTGGTGGGGTTGGTGAGGGGTTGTGGTGAGGGTTTGTGGTGGGGGGTTGTGGTGAGGGTTGTGGTGAGGTGTGGTGGGGGGTGTGGTGAGGGATGTGGTGGGGTGTGGTGGGGGGTGTGGTGGGAGTGTGGTGGGGGTGTGTGGTGGGGGGTGTGTGGTGGGGTGTGGTGGGGGTGTGGTGTGTGGGGTGTGGTGGGGTGTGGTGGGGTGTGGGGTTGTGGTGGGGGTGTGTGGTGGGGTGTGTGGTGGGGGTGTGTGGTGGGGTTGTGGTGGGGTTGTGGGGTTGTGGTGAGGGGGTGTGGTGGAGGGTGTGGTGGTGTGGTGGGTGTGGTGGGGGTGTGGTGGGGTGTGGTGGGGTATGTGGTGGGGGTGTGTGGTGGGGGTTTGTGTGGTGAGGGGGTGTGGTGAGGGTGTGGTATGTAGTGGGGGGTATGTAGTGGGGAGGTGTGGGTATGAGGGGGTATGTAGTGGTGTGGTGCGGTTGCATCGGGGGGTGAGAATGAAATAAAAGTGATGACTTCCGTTGAAACTCTGAGACCATGAGAGGAGGAGGAGTAAAAAATAGAATTAGGAGGAAAGGAGGAGAGATGGAGAAAAAAGGAAAGAAAGAAGGAAAAGAGGAGGATGCAGAAGAGGAGGAAGCAGAAGGAGAGGGAGCAGAAAAGGAGGAAGCAGGAGAGGAGGAAAATATTCATAATAAGGCAGAGGCAAAATGAGGCAATATACGGTGAAGTAAAAAGTCCAATAGCGTGGTAGAAACAAGTCCAGCGAGCTGACATGAGCTAGCATGTCCAGTGAGTTACCAAGTTCCATGAGCTAGCATGTCTAGTGAGCTAGCATGTCTAGTGAGCTAGCATGTCCAGTGAGCTAGCATGTCCAGTGAGTTACCATGTCCAGTGAGTTACCATGTCCAGTGAGTTACCAAGTCCAGTGAGTTACCAAGTCCAGTGAGTTACCAAGTCCAGTGAGTTACCAAGTCCAGTGGTGCCAGTAGGCATGTCCAGTGAATTACCATGTCCAGTGAGTTACCATGTCCAGTGAGTTACCATGTCCAGTGAGTTACCAAGTCCAGTGAGTTACCAAGTCCAGTGAGTTACCAAGTCCAGTGAGCTACCATGTCCAGTGAGTTACCATGTCAGGTGAGTTACCATGTCCAGTGAGTTACTATGTCCAGTGAGTTACCAAGTCCAGTGATTTACCAAGTCCAGTGAGTTACCAAGTCCAGTGAGCTATAACCTGGAGGCCTGTCGATGGATACGTGAACAAGGGCTCTCAGTCACCCATCCATTGTGGGGGATAGAGAGTAAGAGGGAAAATAAACTAACCCTAAATAACAAAGAGGACGAAGGAGAGAGAGAGAGAAGATGAGAGGTGGTGAGGAATGAATGAATGAATGAGTAGAGGAGTTTTATAAGATGAGGAAATAAAGAAGGAATAGCAATAATGAGAGGTTAGATGAAGAATGTTATCTAAATAGGGTTGTTCTTCGAGAGGACTGAGTAAGCACCAGGCAGATCAAGATGTAAACAATAACAGACGCATGTAACAACGTCATGTGAAGATGTGGAACACAGGCCCGATTTACACTTTAGTAACTCAGTATTAGAAATAGATGACTAAACGAAGAAATACGAGAGATAAAGGCAGGTATATGAATAAACCGTGATAAAGAAGGAACACGAGGAACAGTAAGAGCAAGAGTCAACAAGGACCAGCACTGGGGGTGGGCGACAGGGAAATATGGTTGGGTACGTCCAGCCGCCTCACCCGAACCAAGATACCAAATTAAGTTCAAGTTAACAAAGTAATATATATTACTAATGTTACATGACTCTGGATTTATGCAAATGACAGGAAAAATCGGCAAAGGGATAAAGGAGACATATAAACATTAGAGAGCTGGATATTGGAAGGGATGTGTAAAAGTTCCAACTTTTACGGGTAAACCGACGATCTTCATAAAAATATATGAACTATCACCATAGTTCATACTTAAAAGATGTACTAATTATGATTATGAATCGTTTATGTTGATTAACAAATAAAAACAATATATACAGTATATAACATGACGCAAGATACTTGGCGGGTTCGGATTTAATCAGTGTATCATGGAAGAGATCCACAGTGAGGCCATCATCCAGCACAAAAGGAGCAGCAATGTTTACTGACAATTCTTCTTAAGAGATTATCACCACTCACTCCTTCCTTCCTTCCCCGGACTCCCCTGCGATGACTCACCAGCAGGTTGATGACAAGTCCATATAAAACTATTGCCACACACAGCGAGAAGGTATACTTACGATCTGTGGGGGCGGAGATGAGCGAAGCATACCGACGCCCCATCAATGAAACCGTCTAAAATTTCAATTAGGGATATATTAAAAAGAATTCACGAGTATAACTCTACCCATTTTTACGTCTACAGAGGATCTCAACAAGAGTGGGGTAAAAATGAGAACAAAACACAAATGTTAAACGAACATCCGACACAAGTTCTGTAAACAACTCTCTCAATGAGTCAGAGAAAACGGACAAAAAGTCGGGGGTGACGAAGACGAAGTCCATGACTACTAAGCCTGAGTCGCGTTTATTCCACTCACTAAAACCCTACGTAAAGGGATGAACACGCGTCCTCCCGTCCTTCACGACTCCCAAACCAGGAGAAAATTCATATAAATCAAGTAGGAGGTACACAGGGGGCAGAAATAGCTGGATCAAAGCCACGTCAGATTAATTGATGAATTGATTTGCTTTGATATCAGTGCGGAATGAATGTGATCATCATGGCGGGAAGAGGCTGGTGGGGCCTGTAGCCGGGTCCTGTGTGTGGAGGCTCCTTTGATGCCTCTATCTGGCACTGCCTTAGAGTTTTCTTCACATATTTTTCCATGGCTGTGCCGTGGGGATGTCTTTGACAATTCTATATTTGGAACTGCTGGAGGGGATTCTTGAATTACTTCTCTCGGGACGCTGGCCTAAGTGACTTCTCTGACGCCTTGAACCTGATACTATCGTGGGGCTTCTGACACTTATATCTGACACTACCGTGGGGCTTCTTTGACACCTCAAGCTGACACTGTTGTGGGTTTTCTTTAGCGCCTCGGTACCTGGAAGTTCCTCTAATAATTCTGTATGTGACAACTGTGTCACAATCTCATATTCCCAGCATCATTATGTGACACTACTGTGTATGTTTCTCTGACACCTCTGCCCTGAATATTGCTGTGAGAGCTTCCGTCATGTCTTTAAACTAAAGGATAAAATTCTAAATTAAAATAAACTTATATTGTTCAATAGAAAAAATAATTGTGAAATGCAGGAAAATTAAACTCTTGAATGACAAAAGGAAATATGTGTCCGTGTGTCTACCTGGCACGCACCTGACGTTTATTAGTGGTAAACACACCCGTGATCATGTGTACCCCTCCCCCCCACACACACACAGGTACTTACACGTCAGAGGCGTTGGTGTTCTCCTCGTACTCATAGTCGTAGTCCTGGATGTCGGAGTCGTCAGGCGGAGGTACCACCACCCCCGGCTGCGACCACACTGTAAGGAAGACAACCACCATTAGTACATTATTTAACCTATCAGTAGACAACCACTATCATTATGCATTAAGACAACCACCATTAGTACATTATTTAACCTATCAGTAGACAACTACTATCATTATGCATTAAGACAACCACCATTAGTACATTATTTAACCTATCAGTAGACAACCACTATCATTATGCATTAAGACAACCACCATTAGTACATTATTTAACCTATCAGTAGACAACCACTATCATTATGCATTAAGACAACCACCATTAGTACATTATTTAACCTATCAGTGGACAACCACTATCATTATGCATTAAGACAACACCATTAGTACATTATTTAACCTATCAGTAGACAACCACTATCATTATGCATTAAGACAACCACCATTAGTACATTATTTAACCTATCAGTAGCCATATCATTATGCATTAAGACAACCACCATTAGTACATTATTTAACTATCATTAACAAACTATCATTATGCATTAAGACAACCACCATTAGTACATTATTTAACCTATCGTGAGACAACCACTATCATTATGCATTAAGGCAACCACCATTAGTACATTATTTAACCTATCAGTGAACCAACCACTATCATTATGCATTAAGCAACCACCATTAGTACATTATTTAACCTATCAGTAGACAACCACTATCATTATGCATTAAGACAACCACCATTAGTACATTATTTAACCTATCAGTGGACAACCACTATCATTATGCATTAAGACAACCACCATTAGTACATTATTTAACCTATCAGTGAGCAACCACTATCATTATGCATTAAGACAACCACCATTAGACATTATTTAACCTATCAGTGGAAACCACTATCATTATGTCATTAAGACAACCACATTATTATATTATTTAACCTATCAGTAGACAACCACTATCATTATGCATTAAGACAACCACCATTAGTACATTATTTAACCTATCAGTAGTGACCATCATATGCATTAAGACAACACCATTAGTACATTATTTAACCTATCAGTGAGCAACCACTATCATTATGCATTAAGACAACCATTAGTACATTATTTACTATCAGTAGACAACTACTATCATTATGCATTAAGACAACCACCATTAGTACATTATTTAACCTATCAGTAGACAACCACTATCATTATGCATTAAGACAACCACCATTAGTACATTATTTAACCTATCAGTAGACAACCACTATCATTATGCATTAAGACAACCACCAATACTAATCATTAATGAGGAGACGCTGTGTTACTACATAGTCAACCACCACTACCATACAGCACAGTGGACGGATGATAATGATGAGAGATCTGATGAAGATATAATGATGATAGTGTGGTTAATGATGATGATATTGATGGTGGTGATAATGATGAGGTTAATAATAACTAAAATAATAATAATAATTAAGATGTTGATGCTAATTACACTGGTAATGATGGTGAATTCTAGGATGATGAGGCTGATAGTGAAGATGATAACAGAAGGAGGGTAGGAGGAGGTGCATTACCCTGACTTCACTCCCAGATATGACCACCAGCATCACCACGTCGCTGAGAAACTTCCCTCCTCCTCCTCCTCTCCTCCTCATATCTCTCCCTCTTCCCTCCTCTCCATACCCCTCTATATACCCTCCTCCTCCACCTATACCTCCTCCTCCCCACTACCCTACCTTCATACCCTTCTCCTTCTAACATGATGGAAAAACTAATTACAGCATAGCAGAACAATTTACCAACCCTCATTAACCCAGACAGAGACTCTCACGACCTGGCTTGATGACAACAGGTTTATGATGGTCAAGGCAAAAATGGCGACGCCTTCTTGTGTTCAGTTATTATCATCATCTGAATAGGGTCACTTTAAAGGTCTGTCGCAGTGTAATGTTAAAATATTACTCACGTTAATTGATAAAAAGTTATAATAAGTTATAATAAATATATTGTACGTATAATAAGCAAATCATAAAATAATCAAGAGTTACATTAGGGAAAATTAATAATATCTATACTACATCCAATATTATAACAGTAAAATAGTTTATAATCTGTAATAGTTAATGCCTAAAAATAAAATTACCGTTCAAAACAAAACAATTAAATAAAATGTAAATAATCCAAACGATTAAAAAAATATAGAATGAATAATGACAAAAACAAACAAAATTAACACGAAATCTGGGTGTAGATGTATAAAGTCTTTCCATACTCTGTCCCCGCCAGCAGAGACCTGATACTGACCCAGACAACTGACCATATTTAAACATCAATCTAGCGAACTAATCGTGTAAGTTTGAATTCAGTTGACTCTTCCATTGTCGAGATGGTGTTCGGATAATATAGGTTTATGTTGCCGGAGAGAAAATTTAATAAAACTCAAAAATAAATCGTGGACTAATAAGGTCTCGGAGGCAGCCTTCAATTATTCAGACTTACCACCCAAGGCTATAGCGTTACGAAAATTGTCTTCCATTTATACCTTGGCTCACCTGTTAATTACTTTTCCAGCTCTTAAGGAACTGCTGGCATCTCAACTATCTAGAGAGTTAAGACATTAATTAATAGCCAAGGGGCACTGTTACACACGACAGGGAACTGCAGGTGATGGACATTTTAAGTCAGCTCTCGTCTCTGCCACACCTGTAACTAGAGCTCATGTGGGTCCTTGCGTTATGCAGCCTCCTAGTGGTCACTCTTCTCACCAGCCTCCTAGTGGTCACTCTTCTCACCAGTCGGGTTACTCATCTATCTTCCTCTCGCCCTTCTTAAACAATAATACATCTTTCTCAACTACTTCTTCACTCTCTTCTCTACTTACCCATCCCTTCTCTCCCCCTTTCGTTTCTTTTACCCATCATTCCCTCTATTCCGTCATCCTCCCTCGCTCATCTCAACCACTCTCTCTTCCCTTTACCTGAAGAACCAACACCAAATACAAAGAAGGAAGGACAAGAGATCACGAAGGAGAGGAGTAAAGGCAAGTAGAACAATCAAAACAAAACAAGACAGAATGAAGGGAAGAGTAAGAGAAACTCAGCACACAGGGTGAAGGAGGCAGCTCAGTGCCTTTGAAATGAGTCTCGAGAAAACCTGGAGTGGGGTGTAGCAGGCGGGCGCCCACTAAGCAGTCTGCCAGGCGAGCGTCAGGGATATTTTAGAGTGTGTGTGTGTGTGTGTGTGTGTTTTACTCTGGCCAGACCGAGTGCATCAGCTGGTAATGATGGACAGCGAGTGTGTAAACGTCTCTTACACCTGCCAGCTCAAGACGCTAACTGGAAAGATCTTTTTTCCTTTCTGCCAGATTATTATTATTGTATTTTCATTAAGGTCCTCTCGCTACCTGCCACCTCCAGATACTAACTGGGGAAGCTTTTTGTTCTTCTTAAGACAGTAGATCATTATTACATTCAGGATGCTAAATGAAGAAACTTTATTTTACGTTTGATCAAGACCCGCAGGTAACTAACACAGTCAAACATTTAATCGTCCGAGTTTTGGGTTTCTCTCTCTTCTGATCGACAAAACATGAGAGGATAGAAGTTTTACTCAGTGCACCACGACGTTGGTTCCACACTAATTAAGGAGTTTTCTGCTATTTCTTCCTCTTGTTTTCTTCTTTTTTTGTTATTTTTTCTCGTTTTGTTTATTTTTCTTCTTGTGTTTTGGTATTTCTTGTTATTCTTTCCTATTTTTTAATTCTTCTTCTCTACTCTTAGTCCGATATTTCTAAGTCTTCCCGTTGATCTCCCTCCACCATAACCTCTGTCTTCCCGTTGATCTCCTCCCGCCTTAACCTCTGTCTTCCCGTTGATCTCCCACCTTAACCTCTGTCTTCCCGCTGATATCTTCCCTCCACCTTAACCTCTGTGTCCCAGTTGTTCTCGTCTCCCGTTGATCTTCTCCACCTTAACCTCTGTCTTCCCGCTGATATCTTCCCTCCACCTTAACCTCTGTCTTCCGTTGATCTTCTCCCACCTTAACCTCTGTCTTCCCTTGATATCTTCCCTCCACCTTAACCTCTGTCTTCCCGTTGATCTTCTCCCACCTTAACCTCTGTCTTCCCTTGATATCTTCCCTCCACCTTAACCTCTGTCTTCCCGTTGATCTTCTCCCACCTTAACCTCTGTCTTCCCTCTGATATCTTCCTCCACCTTAACCTCTGTCTTCCCGTTGATCTTCTCCCACCTTAACCTCTGTCTTCCCGCTGATATCTCCCTCCACCTTAACCTCTGTCTTCCGTTGATCTTCTCCCACCTTAACCTCTGTCTTCCCTGATATCTTCCTCCACCTTAACCTCTGTTTCCAGTTGTTCTCGTCCTCCACCTTAACCTCTGTCTTCCGTTGATCTCCTCCTTAACCTCTGTCTTCCCGCTGATCTTCCTCTATCAAGAACAACTAAGAAATGTAAACAAAGCAAGAGGTAAAAAGGACTAAGGTCGTAGCTAAATATTGTGGACTAAAATACGGGTTCTTGTACCAACCGACCCCAGGCTCTCCAAAATCTGAACGATGACCAAAATAATGGGATTACTAGGTGGCCAGATAATGCTGCAACATGGTGATTTATACCCAGTTTATAATGAGATCATCCTTGACGATATGAAGACTGTAGAATTTACTGGAGGCAAGAAAATATTAAGAATAATGGGAATAGCTAGCTCTCTCTCTCTCTCTCTCTCTCTCTCTCTCTCTCTCTCTCTCTCTCTCTCTCTCTCTCTCTTGGTACAAATGAAAGCACAAGGAAAGAGTGAAGAAACAGAGTACAGTACACCTCCCCATGCATGGTTAGGATATACAGTGGAGAGAGAGGGAAGAGCTGGGCCTCGCCTTCCCTTGTATGGGGGGAGACATAAATATGTCACCCACAGTGTTGTGTCAGAAGTGCACAACAAAAGAGAATATTGTGCAAATATCACCCAATATAACACCCATAAACTAGATGGTATGGAGGACACTGTTACCACACGCTGTAATGTTAGACA